CGGGGTAGTTTGTTGGGTTGTGGGGGGACTGGGCTAAGAAGTGTATTGAGTATTGACTAGGAAACACATTTCGATAGGTCGGTTTGGAATTCAGTAACTCGGTGCGGTCGAGAGGATCCTAGTTTCCGAATTAGGCCTATTACACTTCCGAATTCCGAGACAAATAATGTCATTTCAATTTCGATTCGGTTCGAAAGAATTTTATCGAACGGGACGGCCACCTCTAGTTGGGGTCAATTTGGAGCGAGCGGATCTGGTCAGTAACTATGCATAACCCAATCACCATCCGCCACATCAGCGTCCATCCCTCACATGTAAAGCTTTTCAAAATGATATCTCACTCTTCGGGATTTTTTTATTTTTTTTGCATAGTTAGATCAGATTAATTGTGCTCTTCAAAATTATATCCACTTTGATATTTTTTGGAACAAAGAAATTGAGCCATTTTTTATCGAGCATACCATATGTCATAAAGCGTACCATGGTGGTATGAACATACCAAGACTGTAGGATGGTTGAATACATGATAGTAGGAGTGTCATTTATGACTTTCAACATTGTTTACCGCAAGATACCACCCCGTACCATAGTGGTATTGTGTGATTTTTTTGTCCTATATTTTGTTCACCGAGAAATTTGTAGATCCAATAGATAATGATAAACTCGTTCCTTCTGTGCAAAAAAATTCAAATATGACTTAAAAACGAAGAAGATACCATATGGTATGCAGTTGGTAAGGAGAGGAATGAAATCATTTTTCTCAAAAGATATTGAAAATGGATCTCATTTTGGAGAGCACAACGAACTCGTCAGTAATCTTGTGGTGAGTAACCATGCATAACTCAATCACCATCCACCACATCAGTGCCCTTTCTCTCTCCTAGAAAGCCTTTAATTTTCCCCCATTAATCTTTAACAGGCGATTTCTTACTTGTTTTAAGTAGGATTTTTTTTTCAAAGTTAGATTAGATAAATTGTGCAATTCAAAATGATATCCACTTTGATATATTTTTGAAAGAAAATGGAGACATTTTTTACCAGTCTATACTCTATGGTATTGACTGGTAGGGGTGGGCATTGGGTGGGTCGGGTGGATTTTGACCATAAAATGCACCCACCCGCGCTTAAACGGATTGATAATTTTTAACCCACCACCCACCCACATTTAGTCTCGGGTTGGGTCGGGCGGATGGTGGATGATGCGGGTGGGTTTGTGGGTTCACCCACATCACAATGTATATAATATAAACGAGTCAACTTGACATGATAATAGGTGAAGAGAATCATCGAGGGAAACAAGAAGTTGAAATAGGGCGAAAAATGTCGAATTAGTTCTTAACTTGGATAGAAATTCTATTATGAAAGAGTTTTCTACAGATTGAGACGATTATTAGGTGCAAGGAACTAATGAAAATAATTCCACAAAGGAAAGAGCGGTGATCTAAGCACAAGAATTAGAGGAAAAAGTAAAGGGAAGAAGAGGGGATCTCTATTTGGAAGGTTGGCTTTGAGGTTCAAACTCCAGAAGCAGTCCGAGTTTATATCTAACTTCTCCACTCTCCTCTCTCTAGCGCCAACGACTTTGATCTTTTTGCTGTTGGGTTGAGCGGGTCACCCGCACACTCACCCACAACCCACCCACCACCCGGCGGATGGCTCCCAGCGCAACCCGTCACCCACCCACAGACCCACCCACTTAACCAAATTCGGGTCAAATGCGGGTGGGTCGGCCCAAACCCGCGGATGATCCGCCCACATGCCCAGCCCTATTGACTGGTATTGAAATCAGAGCATTTCATATGGTATGAAAAGAGTACCATGGTGGTATGAACATACCAAGACTATAGGATGGTTGAATACATGATAGTCGAAGTATACTAACTGTCATTTACGACTTTTAACATTGTGTACCACAAGATACCACCCCGTACCAGAGGGTGGTATTGTGTAGTATTTTTTGGTACTGTATTTTGCTCCCCAGAAATTTTTAGATCCAATAGATATGATGAACTCGTTCCTTCTGTGCAAAATTTTCAAAACGACTTAAAAACGAAGAAGATATCATATGGTATGTAGTTGGTAAAGAGAGGTAAGAAATTTTTTTTCTAACAAAAATATTGAAAATGGATCTTATTTTGTAGAGCACAATGAACTCGTTCCATCTGTGCAAAAAAAAATTGAAATTCGAGTTAAAACGAAGAAGATATGAGCCGATTAAAAAATAAGGAAAAATAAAAATGTTTTTAATTCTGCACCTTTAAAATTTGATTTTTTACCGGTAATTATCAATTCTCATTAATCACCGCCTGAAAACCAGGACTGGCAAAAACCTCGGAGCAAAATTACTCAACAGTTCTGTGTACAAAGACTAGCCGAACTACAAAAGCCGTATAGGTAAAAGATAATAGACGACTAAACTGAGGTAACATCCGAACTTGTGTAAGAAAAGCAAAGCTTTCATAGCATAATAATTGAAGTCTTCAACCAGTTGCTGAATCAATATTCTGGACTCCTTCTTGCTGCCTTGATATATGCGAAGACAACGTTCTTTCCAAATGACACTAAGACACCAACATCATATAACACCCTGCACAAAGCCTTTGCTTCCATCTTTCCTTACTTTTCTGCAGATCCATTGGAGCAAGACTTCCCACGAGCTAGGCCAAGAACTTAAGCCAAACATAGCTGCAAAAACCTGTAGTGAAAACGGGCATGTGGAGAATAAATGTGTTCTAGTCTCTTCCTCTTTTCCACACAACACACATGATGCGTCGTTCACTTTCCACCACTGCTTCAACTTGTCAAGAATAGTAATCCAAACCTGCTGGGTAGAAAATCGAGGCATTGCTTTCCCTTCCCAAGTTACATCACCTGTTGTAACAGTTGAAAGCCGGAGTTGGAACCAACTGCGATTAGCTAGAAGCTTTCGCCATTTCCACGATCCTGTCTGAGAAGAAGGCAGGTCCTAGATTGATCTCCCCCTCAGCCTATACTTTTGAATCCAAGCCACCCAAAAACTCACACTTTGCATCAATATAAGCCATAAGAGTCTAGCCACAAAGCAATATTCCAGCTACCTAAGCCTTTTAGTCCCATCCCCCTTCCTTTTTAGGAAATGCAATAGTGTCCCAGACAACCTTAGCACGACATGTGCCCTCTCCAAACCAAAGAAAACCTGAACAGATTTCTGAATTAAGGATTCAAATTTTATTACTGATAGGTGCATATCTGGAGCCCAAATATATTCATTGATCGAGAAATCGTCAAATCCAGCAACAACCCTATTTCATAAAGACTAGCAAAAGCTCGCTCACTATCGCTTCGCGTATCATAAAAATAAATATTTTAAAGAGTAATAATTTTAAGGTAACATAGTCGTACTATTTTGGCATTTTTTTTAGTTTGAGGTAATCGTGGTTCTCGTTTATAAATTTTTGGGACTGATTGCAGGTTTGAGGAGATTCAACTCACATTGGTCGGGTCAAAATAGGTTGGATGCCCATGGATTTAGGTTCAATTGTCTTTCTCAAACAAAAGAAAAAGCCGAAATGAAAAACACTAAAGGTAAAACTCACTACCGACTCAAAAGTCATCAACACCAGGTTCAACTTGCTTTGACATGGTGGCACCGAGTTTCGAGCAAATTCACGCCTAACACAACCCGCCAATTACAAAAACAGATAAAACTCGCTCTCGGCAAAAACTTGTAAACACCAGGTTTAAGTCGCTTTGGTCGAGTCGAATTAGGTTGGATACTCATGCATTTGGACTCAATTGTCATTCTCAACCAAAAAGAAAAGGATAAAAAAATACTAAAGTGGATAAAACTCATTCACGACCCTAAACTCTCAACATTGTGTTCAACTCGCTTTGATTGGGTGGACCCAGTTTTAACAAATTCACAATTTACCCAACATGTCGATACGAAGCTCATCAACAATAGGTCAGAGTTCAATTGTCATTCTCACGAAAACGGAAAATGAGACAAAAAAAAATTAAAGCGTACAAACCTCGCTTTCGATCTAAAACTGGTCAACAATGTGTCAACTCGCTTTTGACCAAGTTTTTAACAAATTAACACTTGGTTCTACCCGCCAACGACAAAAGCGGATAAAACTCTCTCACAATACAACACTCGTTAATACCTTAGATTCAGGTTTAATTGTCTTATCAACCAAAAGAAAAAAGAGAATTCATAAATACTAAAGTCAGTTACAAGTCTCTTTGACCAAATCGAAAGACTTTTATATATTAATTAAAAGTAAAGAGGATATAACTCGTTCCGGATACAAAACTAGTGGTAGCGGCCTTGGCTTCAAGTTAGGATATCCTTGTGTTTGAGTTCAATAGATGTAAACCTAGTAAACAATAGCTAAACACAAATGTTATAAAATGGAGAGTGGGGTAAAAGAAGCAATTTGGAGCTTCCCCACTTGCAATTGGAGGAGTGTGAGAGCCACTAATAAATAGTAACTCACAACCTATACTTTTATATAAAGTCAGTTGCAAGTCGCTTTGACCAAATCGAAAGACTTTTATATATTAATTAAAAGTAAAGAGGATGAAACTCGGTCCCGATACAAAACTCGTGGTAGTGACCTTAGCATCAAGTTAGGATATTCTTGTTTGGATTCAATAGATGTAAACTTAGTAAACAATAGCTAAACACAAATTTTATAAAATGAAGAGTAGGGTAAAGGAAGCAACTTGAAACTTCGCCACTTGCAATTACAGTAGTGTGAGAGCCACTAATAAATAGTAACTCACAACTTAGACTTTTATACATTAAATTAAATAATTAATTAAATTAATATTCCGAGAAAAAAGTCTTCGGCCTTTCTCCGCCCGCCCGCCCGCCCGCCAGTCGGTTCCTCTGCACGGAAACCGCCGCTTCCTCACCAATCCACCACCGTTGTTCCCAACCTCAAATTCTCTGTCGGCCGCCATCTTTGGAGTCAAATATTGGCGTCCTCCTAGTCAAAACTCTCTCAGTTGTAGTCATGGACTTTAGCAACCACAAGATCTCTTCTTCCCCTACCTCTTCCTCATCCTCGACGCCTCAACCGACCACCACAAGCGCCACATTCGCCAGCGGGGCCACGACGAGCTCCAACACTGCTACCTCCGCTTCCACCGCCGACCCGATGCACTCTTGGTGGGAATCCATCTCCAGAGCACGCTCCCGCATTCTCGCTCTGAACTCCCTCCTTCCTCCCGATCCTTCCTCTTCTTTCTCCCTCTCTTCTCTGGCAGATTCCGACCAGCCGGCGCTCTCCTTTCTATCGTCCCTCGACGCTTACTCTCTCTTCTCCTCTGCGATTTCGATTCCTTCTTCAGGGTCGGGATCCGATCCTCTCTGCCAGTGGCTGTACGAAACCTACCTTTCTGCCGATCCTCACCTTCGTCTTATCGTTCTCTCCTTTGTTCCCCTTCTGACCGGAATTTATCTCTCCCGGATCCACTCCTTGGAATCAACTTCCGCTCCTTCTCTCGCTGGTTTGGAGGCCGTCCTCCTTGCTATCTACTCGGCAGAGGTGAAATCTCGGGCCGGGAAGCCTGTTCTGGTCCAGATTCCAGATCTCTCGCAACCGTCTTTGTATCACAGTCCTCGGAACAGACAGCAAAGACCGACCAAGTCGAGGCCTTCGGTTGGGGTTTTGAGTGCTCCATTGGAGTCTCAGCTAGCTGTGAAGTCTACCAAGCGGCCAATCATCGTAGGCGTGGCGCTTGATTGCTATTTCAAGCAGATCTCACAGATGCCGAGTTGGTCTAAGGTCGAATTCTGCAAATATGCGGCTGCGTGGGCTGGGCAGGACTGTGCTTGCAAGAACAAGTTTGATGCCGAAGAGAAATCTGATAAGAAATACGCTAATGAAAATGGCGCTGGGTACTATCTAGAAGGCAGCAACTTGAGCAATGGTTTTGACCGAAATGGCTACGGTAATGCTGTTGAGATTGAACATGAGGATGATGTTGTGGAACAAATAAGGGAGTTGACGATTGAAAGATTTGATTCAGGGGAATTCGAATTGAAGGGGGTAAGGATTCCCCTGGCTTGGGAAATTTTGCAGCCTTTGTTGAGGATTTTGGGGCACTGCCTGTTGGGGCCATTGAGCGCCCAAGATGTCAAAGATGCTGCTTCTGTGGCGGTTAGGCGATTGTATGCTAGAGGGTCTCATGATTTGCTTCCGCAGGCGATATTGGCAACTCAGAGCTTGATTCGGCTTGATAATAGAGCAAGGGAGGCTGCACAGATATCAGCAGCTACAAATCCGCCGTCAAATGTAACTACACCTAGCAAAGCTAAGAAGCCTGAAGTTCTATTGGTTTCCAAATAAATCTTCCTCCAGGTTGCAGTTTGCTTTGCAGGTATGGAGCTTCTGCACATTCTATTGTCATCGTGTTATTGACTGCAGTATAGTTGGTTCCTAATTGATGGTAAAGTGGAAGCCTTGTAGTTTCTCAGTTTGGCATTCAGCTTGATTTATGTTGACTGATCTCACCATATGGAGACAGACCATTGCAATCAACTTTCAAACTTCTCTGCTCCGGCATTCCATTGTGTCCCACTAATCACTGAAACTTGCCAGTTAGAGTAATTTCCAACAAGTTGCGTGAGTATTTGATTGCTTGGTTAAGGTACCCCTTCAATTTGGTATTGCATTATCTCCTACGCCCAACTATCAGTTAGTAGCCAATCATTCACAGGAAGAAAATAAAACCTACTAGAGGGTTTGTTATTGCCCTGGTTAATAATGTATATATGTGCAAGCTTACCTCCTCTGCATACGGTCCATTATGTGGTATCCAATTGTAAAGTAGTGCTGTGTGAGAAATGAGCAAAGTCTTTCCATGGCAGTGTCGAACTGTATATCCATTTAACTTGATTTGGTATTTGGGGTAAAGTGAGTTTTTCTTCAGTTTAGTTTCCAATACTTTGCCATGACTATTTGAATGTTTTGTTTCGTATGGCAGTTCAAAGCAACTGGTTTTGGACTCTATGCAGAAGGCTTACTTTGACACGATATCAGACTTGCTGGCTGGATAACTATGCGATTTTAGCGAGTGAACCAATCTGTTTCGGCCAACAATTGTGGGAAAGTCGCTCTTGAACTAACGTCTTATAATTGGATCGTTGCCCTAAAACTACAAGTATAGTCCGTTGATGTTTGAATAGTAAAAGTGTTGTGGCCAGGGTTGAATGTAATTTAGCCAAAAAGGCCTCGCTGATCCTGATGCTGCACCCAGGAGTTTGTAGCCTCTACAATGAGGTGATTTTCAGAAATGTGTAGCCCTTGTCTTTGCAGTGTGTAACTTCATCCACAATTCTCATATTTGTTCAACAAATACTATTAGGCAACTCTGATGCTGTGCTGCAGCTAGAGGTATCAATCGGGTGGGTTCGGGTTGGGTTCAAACAGGTTATGAGTTAAATGGGTTCTGGTTTATTGGATTATGTGTTCAATCAGGTTACGGGTTCATCAGATCCCAGCTTCATTTGGTTGAGTTAGGCGGGCTACGAGTGTATCATGTTGTGAGTTCTTCCGGTCAAGCATTGTGTTACTCTTTACTTGTTACAACTTACACATTATTTATTAAACTAATTTCAAACATGTTGTCGGTAATTTTTAGAGTATTTCATTCCATCTTGTATGTGTACTTATAAGAGTTAAAGAAACTGGTCAATAATTTGAGATGATTGAGTTATTACAAATGTATGACTTACAAGTTCGCCATGTAATTAATCATAATTTGTAAAGCACACTAATTAATAGTTATGGCGAGATCAACATTTTCATTCAATAGTCCTATTACAACCACAAATTAAAAGATGTACCATAATTAATAAAAATTCATATTCGGTTTAAAACAAAACATTGAATAAATAATTGCACAAACATTCAAGTGGTGTTAGAGACAACTTCAATACATTCGTACATAATTTGCAACAACAATCATTAATTGACTATAACTTCTAAGTTTTCAATACATCACACATAATGGATAATTTGCAAGATGAAACTCTAATCTAATTTTGAACATTTCTCTCAATGCATAAGCAATGTCTTAGTCGATAACGGGTTAATACCACTACAACACTCGAACTATCCCAAAAATGCTACTTGTGTCCTATTTTATTCAATATTCCATTTTTGTCCTATAAACAAGGGTTTGGTCTAGTGGTAGTACCACCAGTTTTGAACCTGGAGGTCAAGGGTTCGAATACATTAACTAGTACCTCAGCCACAGAAAAAATAAACATATATCACCTTTATCAAAAAATATTCCATTTCTGTCCAACTATTAGTCTGTTAGTTAGTGTTGATTGACTATTCATATTTAACATAAAATCTAACATGTATTGATGTGGCAACTGACTTTGAATTTATCCATTTTTAGTTTATTTTTTATGTCACTTAACAAAAGGCATATATTAAAAACTAAAAGTAAAAAATCCCCCTCCCACTAGTTTTGAACCTGGAGGTCACCGGTTCGAATACATTAAGTAGTACCTGAGCCACACAAAAAATCAACATATATCACCATTATCCAAAAAATATTCCATTTCTGTCAAACTATTAGTCTGTTAGTGTTGATTGACTATTCATATTTAACATAAAATCTAATATGCATTAATGTGGCAACTGACTTTGAATTTATTCAATTTTTATTTATTTTTTATGTCACTTAACAAAAGGAATATATTAAAAACTAAAAATAAAAAATCCCCCTCCCTCCATCGTATCCTTCCTCCGCCCAACCACCTACCCCTCCCCATCGTCATCACGATTGAATGGTGATTGCTAGGATACATTGAGTTATATGGTTACGAGTAGTGTTTTCTTAGTGACAATCAAAGTTCAAATGTGAGGTATTTCTTACGAAACTTTATTTATAGGGGTTAATATATTTGTCTGCCCGAACTTTTTTCATATTTAACATTTTGGTCAACCCTTTTGATATTTAACATCGTGACCTGAACTAAGTCAACACTTTACTAATTTGGTCACATTCGAGAGTTGACCGTTAGTTTTGACGGTCAAGAGCATTGACTAACGGTCAACTCGCCGCGTCACTTACCAATAAGCATAAATAAACTAAAAAATTCCTAAATTCCACATAATCCCTTAAAATAATTATAATTAAATTAAAATTAAAACATAAATTGGAAAAACAAAAATTGAGAAGGGGTCCGTCGGAATGGAAAGTGAAGGTTGGGTTTTGAGCTGGTAACCGCAACTCTGTTTCTCAAAATTTTCAAATTTCTAATTTAATTATAATAATTTTTAGAGATTATGTGGAATTTTGAATATTTTTAAATTTATTTATGCTGACTGGTCAGTGATGTGGCGGGTTGACCGTTAGTCAACGACCTTGACCTTCAAAACTAACAATAAACTCTCGGGGTTGACCAAATTAGTAAAGTGTAGGGTTAGTTCGAGCCACGATGTTAAATACCAAAAGGATTGACCAAAATGTTAAATATGGTAAAAGTTGCGGTCAAACAAATATATTAGTCCAAATAGTGTTTGTTACTCTCATTCTTGACACGTTTTTCCCTTCTATCAATGCATCTTTAGTCATTTCAATGGTGTTTCTTGTCTAAATTACAAATATTTGATTAATGAGCTTTTAATAGACCTATACAATGTTCGTGTACTCTTTGCTGCCTTCTTGGCATGTTTATAATGGATTTGAAGGTACAAAGCAACCTAATGAAGATTACATCAATCATTGAAGAACTATGGGGTACCATATGAGCTATAAAGAGAAGTTTAAGGGGATTTCGTGAGAAAGAAGTGGTCAATGATGGGGGAGTCAACTAGAAGTTGCTATATTATCTCAAGACAAGCCAGCAAGAGGAAGACTCTGCCCAATATGAAGAAGAATGAGCGGTAAACCCATGCAACGAGTCCAACCACCGTCCATCAAGTTGCAGCCCAATCGTCAAGAAAAAAAGCCCATGGACCACAAAGCCCAACCCACAAAGAAATAGAGCGGCGCGTCCAAATGCTGCCCTATTGCCGCCTCTTTCTTGCCGTGTTGATGAAGTTTACTTAGCCTACAAGGTTTAAGATACTCTTTCCTAGTCGGGTTAGGATGTTTTAGGCTGGGATTCTCCCCTATAAATAGAGTGCATGACCCATTAGCTTAATTAGTAAGGTCGCACAAACACACAAATTCTCCGTAACACTCTACTTGAGTGCTCAGCCTAGTCAAAGTAGGGGGGGTCTGCAGCTAAAGAGATGATGTCATCATCAATGGTGGTACCTTCCTTCTCCTCTATGTAGGTAGTCTAAAGTTATTGTATTAGGATGTGATCTTGCCTATTGTTATGTGAATGAATGCTATGATCTCAGGCTTGTGTTTGTCTATGGAATTTTCAATGCTATTGCTTATGTATGGATGTATTTAGTTTCGATGCTTATGTGATTATCATTGATGGTTCCATAGTACGAATGCTCTTGTATCATTGATGCTTATTATTCCATTGTATGATACTATATGCATTGTGCTCAGTTTTACCTAGGTTGTCTAGAAATTACTATCTAGGGATACCCCATTGATGCTACATGAGCATGAGAGGCTTGATCATCCATTTATGCTTCAAGTAGTATCAATGCTTGATTGTTAGATCATCGATGCTACAAACTATAGTTATGGTTCGTAAAAGCCCACAATTAACTATATGCTATCGTAGCTTCCCTAATCTTCATTGATTAGGTAATGACATGAAGTGAAAGCACGCATTAGTTAGTGAAATATCTTTTGCAAGAGGTGCATCATGGGTAGAGAGTAGCCTTAGAGGAAGGGATATGGTGTTACAATAGATGAACCATTGATGCATGATAGTAAGCATAATAGTTTTAAAGTTCACTACCTCTTACTATAACATATATTTACTTTTATGCACTTATAAATAAAAAACCCCTAAACAACAGTACTCTTCTTGTTTTTCTTGTTTATTTGTGTATGACATGGATGGTTGGTGTGAGTAGGTATGCATTAGTAGAACTCAAGGAATAATAATCTAGGGCATCCTAGATTTTATCAGGAAAAATCCCAGAATAGACGAGTAATTAAAAAAAATTCCCAATACATTCGTTATAAAAATATTTCTCAAAGTACACATGTTCGTACATCACTGTCGTCGTCGAAGACAGTGATGACAATCACCGTCGTAGTCTAGAACAGTGAATACATCACCGTTTTTTATGAAGACGTTGAATGCATCACCACTGTAATAGAAAACGGTGAACTAATCACCGCCATTGTCTACAACAGTGAAAGCATCACCGAAGAGGTTAAAAACGGTGAACAGCTCACCGTTGTAGTCCAAAATGGTGATTGTTTACGACGTTTTCCAGCCCTGGTAGGTCAAAAATTAGGTCACAACTACCAAGCATTCACCGTGTTTGTCAACGGCGGTGGTATGTTCACCGTAGCAGCCTATTGCGGTGATTAGTCCATCTGGTTTGAATATATAAAACCCATCCCTCACGTACCTGCCTCATCAAAATCTGCCAAATTCAGCTCAAATTGTTGCAAAAATCCCCTTCTCAGCTCGGTTCCCGCAACTCAAAATTTTGGTATGTTATAATTATGTATTGTTTAGATTTTGATGTTTTAACAATTATATGTCTGTATTTAGTGAATTTATTTAGATTAATTATGGTATGAATGATGTTAGTTAGCTATGAATTTTGATGAATTTGTTTAGTATTCTCATGTTAGATTATTTAGTTGCGGTCGTTTATGGGTTTGGATGATTTTTTTTTTGTAGCCCTAAGTACTAATTATACTATACTAATCTTATTCGAGTTAAGCTAATAGTTACTTATTATAAATTGCATACATGAGTAAATTTAAGAAGTTTCGGCTTATTATTCGGTGGAATGGTCGGGTAACAAACTCGTACATTGGGATGGATTATGAAGATGGCGAATCCATTATGCTAAAAATTGAGTCGAGATTCACGTGGCAAGAACTCCGTGATATTTGTGCAGAAAGGATTTGTATGGGCGGACATACGAGAGTTGGTCAAATTACGTACCGGTATCCAAACATAAGTGCTGGCGGAGTTGTGTACGAAGAAGTTGTCATAAACGATGATGATGCGGTGAACATGATGTTACAGTTCCTATATGAAAACGGGATGCGGCTTGCAGAGGTGTATGTCGAGACCGAGCTGGTCGGTGAAACTCATTCTCACCAGTATTCTTATGATGATCGTTTTGCAGGAGGGTACAGATGGGGTGGTAGTTCAAGCAACTACGGAGGAGGTAGTTCTGCAGGAGGTGTGGGGTGGGAAGACATTAAGAGCACCCTTCGATTTGGGTGTAGTTAGCATGACCGAGAAGACGATGTTGGTGATGCTGGTCACGATGATCCTCCTGAGTCGAGCTATCCATTCACCTCCAGCGACGAGGAAAGTGAGGATGATTTGAGATTAGTCAGTGATGAGGAAGATATGTACAAAAACGAGGTGGCGTTCCATGAGGCACCAACGCCTTACTACACAGAGGTTCCATCTCAATTTTTATATAGTCAGAACGATGCCCCTGACTTTCTCCCTATGACAGTGTATAATCCTACTACCAATTTGGAGGTGGGTATGGCGTTCCCTTCGAAAGTCGATGTTCAAGATGCTTTTAGCGAAGAAGCCATGCGGCGCAATTTTGAATGGAAGGTAAAATATTCTGACACCAAACAACATGTCATTTGCAAGAATGCTGGAGAGGGTTGTATGTGGCAACTGCGGGCTGCAAATATGAAGAGAAAGGGTGCCTTGGTCATTCGGACAGTAGAGAACAACCACAGCTTCTCCTCAGCCATACTTTCCTAGGATCATCGCCAACTTAAAGCAAAGAAAGTGGCAAGAACCATTAAGCACTTGATCGAGACACAACCAGATATCAAGATCAAAGTTATCATGGCCGAGGTGAAGGATCGACACTCCTACACGATCAGGTATAAGAAGGCGTGGCATGGGAAGCAGAAGGCCATGGCTGAGGTTTATGGTGATTGGGATGACTCGTATGCTTTACTCCCTAGTCTAATGGCCGCAATGGAGGAGTTCAACCCTGAGACTGTTTTCGTGCCATGTTACAACAATGTATACACCGAGGATCAAGTTCGAGTATAGAACGAGTTAATGTTTCATCGTCTGTTCTGGACATTCAAGCCATGCATTGACGGGTTTGCCTTCTGCATGCCAGTGGTCCATGTATATTACTGTCTAAACACTATTGTACTAGTTCATTTTTTAACTAAGTAATATTTATACTAACTAAAATTCTTTTTAACAGGTTGGTGGAACTTTCCTTACCATGAAGTGCAAAGGAACTCTTCTCATTGCCACTGGCGTTTATGAAAATTTAAGTATTTTCCCTCTCATTGCCACTGGCGTTGATGAAAATTTAAGTATTTTTCCCCTGACATTTGCATTAGTTGAAGGGGAGAACAACTTAACTTGGGCATTGTTTTTTGACCAACTACACTACCACGTCACATAAAGGCAGGGGATGATGATTATATCCGATCGACATGCCGGGATTAAGCACGCCGTGATTGGTTTTCCCGACGAATGGGGGTGGACATGGCGCTGGTGTATTCCACACTTTCTTGCATATTTTCTGCACAAATTTGGGAAGAAGAAAGATATAAGAGATCAATTGTGGAGTGCAGGTACTAATGTAATTCAGTGCGATTCATGGGTTATTGTTCAGATGAAATTTCTCATGTCTTAATTATTTATTCTTCGTTCTTGAAGCGGTTGCACATCAACCAAAAAAGTACGAGCAGTAGATGAAGACGACCCGTCAGATACACCGGGTTGAGGCAGTATGGGCAGAAGGTCAAGATCTGCACATGTGGACATTCTACATGGACAACGGGGCTAGATTCGATATTGCAACTACCAACCATGGAGAGAGCATAAATGGAGTATACAAGGGCGTTAGGGCAATGCCAATATATGTCATAGCAGAGATGACATACTAGAAGGTAAACGAGTGGTTTGTGAAGAGACTTCAACAAGCTATAGGGAGGGAGCGTGCTGGTCATGTAATAGCACATCACGTCTTTCAGGACATGCAGAAGAACGAAGAGAAATCAAGTAAGCACAGAGTTGTTCTTTTCAACTACAGTGAAGGCGTTTTTGCTGTGAAAATAGGTATTTGGGGTGGACCGGTGGAGGAAGACGTGGGCACAATCATCAATACGTTACTCTACACGTAGAAACTCGCACCGGGGAGTGTACATGCCAAAAGTATCAAAACACAAGAGTACCATCTTCACATGCAATGGCAGTAGCTAAGTCAATAACCATCAGCCCTTATAGTCTGATGAGTCCTTACTTCACCGAACAGGCGATCATGAACTCTTACTCGTCCAGTTTCAGCCCACTGCCAGATGAAGCTTATTGGCCTGTAGACAATGGGAAGTTGATTATCCTACCGTTGCACGTAAAGGGCACCAAGGGTCTTCCTAGGACCGAAATGATTCCCAATGAAATCGATCAATCAAATGAGCCAGGCGAGGTCCGAAGCGTTGGTCCAAGTGCAGACAACCGGGACATGACAAGAGGCGTTGCCCAGATACACCTATCCAACAAAATTTGTGCACAAATCCGAACCAGCCTTGAGTTCGTAGTTTTTCAAATTGTCGCTTAGTTATAATGGTGTTTAATTTGGACATTTACTTTTAATCTTGATGAGTGATTTTCTTGATGATGAAATTATGAACAACTGTTGTGGTTGAAATGATGATGGATATTTTAATGGAAACACAAGACCAATCTATCTTAAGACGACATTGATAGTTTGTGAAAACTACAAGAGCAAACTACACGACATGGAAAGTTCAACGAAAATACACATGACATAACTAGGCAAAGATAGTTCATGGAAAAAACAAGACGACATGGATAGTTCAATGAAAACATGCAAGACATAACTAAACAAAGATAATAAGGATAGTTCACTGGTTTCCTTTATTTTCTCCCCCTCGTCCTCATCCTCCACGACATCTTTGACCCCTTCTTCCGCCTCCTCCTTCGTGGAAAGCCTGTTGAAAAACTGCTTTCGGATTCATCTTAACCCAACGTCCCACCGGAGTATAGCTAGGCGGTGGAGGTGGTGGTGGTTGAGACGTTCCAGAAGAGTGGCGGTAGGTCGAAGTTGTAGGCTGCTATTGCGGGGTCTGATACATCGGAGTCTGTTGTTGATGGTGGAATTGAGGGAACCCTTGAGGAAACATGTCATAATCCTGAGATGGGGCATAACTTGACGACCCTCCAGCGCCCTCTATTGAATTTGACCATTCATGTTCTGGCCATGGGTCCGACAGTTGTGTTTGTTGAGTTGGACAAAACTTTTCAATGTCTGGGTGGGCCCTTCTCTTACTCCTCCGTGGAGCCTTAGCTGGGGGCACAATGGGATCATTATCATGGAAGGAAGGTCGAGGCGGAGTAGGTAGTGGAGGGTATACTATGACATCCCTCCTTTGCTCTCGAGTACAGCAGAGCAGGTTGTTGAAAAGTCTCTGTAGGAAAGATGTCTTCCGCTCGTCCATGGTGGGTGCACTATCGATTGTGCGCTTGGAATGTTCCAAGCCGTCAACCTAATACAAATAAGTTGTAAAATGAAATGAAATGAATTTAATCAAGTTAAAAAAAATCAATTAAATCTAAGCATGTAATCTAACTACAAAAGAATAAGGATAAGACAAAAAGTAAGAAATTGTATCACTTACCACCGCTCCCCACACAACTCCTTGCTTTGACACCCATCTAAGCGTGAATTTCCGATACCACTGCATGTACCCATCGTGGTACCTCATTGACCTCGTCTCTGGTAACCCTTGGACAACCCAATGGGCTCTATTCTCCCAAATGTTGATGTAGAACTCATCCTTGTGTCGTAGGTTGATGGCATGGAGCTTCTTGAAATCTTGAGGCGGGTATGCTAGAATTGGTTTCTCCAAGCGATATTCCCGCAAGGCTCGATCCGATAGGTGCCACTCCACCATGTGCCAACAGATCAAGGGCACCTTGCACAACCACGTCTCTTCATCCTCGGGGTGTCTAAGACGATGCATCTCGATCGCTTCATGTGGATATGGATCCCATGTCACCTACACTCGTTAATGATTTGGAATTAGTACAACTTATATCCACTCCATTCAAAAAAATTAAAATGATGAAATTTGACATTTGTACCTAGTTCCACCAAGACTTATCAAACTCAACACGATAAAAGACTAATGAGTGCTCATGCTGGTGGTCGTTTGTATTTGCTCCGATCCACCTTATGAAGGAAAAGTATGTATATAAGATCTTTGTAAAGCATAGATGCTATGCATGTGAGAATTTCCTAAACACTTTCTAAATCAATTTTAGTAATAAATCTTTCACTAAAATTGTATACTTGGAAAATATCTAAATTCGCTTACTTGGAAAATATCTAAATTCACAAAAATATGATTCTATGGAAGCATCTAAATTCGCTTACCTGGAATATATCTAAATTAAATAAAATATGATTCTATCGAAGCATCTAAATTCACTAAAATTGCATACTTGGAATGAATATAAATTCATTAAATTACATACTTGGCAATAATCTAAATTCACTAAATTCGCTTACTTGGAATATATCTAAATTCGCTTACATGGAATATAACTAAATTCACTAAAATTCTAATATTGCATACTTGGAATAAATTTAACTTAAATTAAACTTACTTGACACCATAGGGGGGATTTGCTACATTTCGTAGCTCCTCATTTGGCAACCAGAATTCCCGCGGGTCTCGAGGTGTGAACATCAGAAGATGTTCCCATGCCCAGAGCTAGAGTATGAACATCGCACCACCAGCTTGTTTTGCTCCCAACCTCGAGCAAGTACACAGCTCTCGGTAGATCCCGACCAAGATGGCCGATCCCCAACTCTTTTCCCGATCTCGTCCCAGTCACTAAGGAGCAACGACAACCACATGCCTTATATCCACCGGTTTGCCTTATCGGGGAATAGAAATCCACCAACCAAGACAATGAGGTAGAAGCGTGCACACCGCTCCACTTGATCGTCAGAGGTGTCTGGGCCTAAATTAACCTCCAACTTGATGTGTTCAACAAGCCACGTGATCGATACTGGCCCTGCATTCTGTGGAGGATGCCCAACCCCTTCGACGGGCATTGTGGTCGGCATGTCGAACCCCAAACCTTGGAGAATCAACAGCCCCCAGCCATCTTCGGGTTTTTTTCGAGAGTCCGATAATGGCCTCTTCAGTGACCGGCAGCCTGGTGAGGGTGGCAACATCTCCGAGTGTGATCGTCATTTCCCCCTCGGGAAAGTGGAAGGTATGCAGCTTGGAGCGACATCGCTCTGCCATTGCCGTCAGCAGATCGTTCTCCATATCAAGCCTCATGAAGTGCCTCACCATGTGCAATCCCGTCCTCTCTAGATAGGGCGCCAATCGAGGATGCCAACGGGGAAATCGTGTTGTCCCTCGATGACTGATGGGAATAAGTGATTCCTACAAAACAATAAACAAAACAAAAAACACGATGTTGTTAGTCAAAGGAAAGCAAAATAAAAAATTTTAAACTAATGAAATCATTTACAAATTAATACAATATAGAGTGTCTACCAGATTATTGTCCCAAATTGCACGGGAGCGATGTTCTTGCTTGGTTAAATACCTTCGATCCCTTGGGCCAAGATCGATATACAATCGAGGGTCGTATATCTCAGAACCCATCTATAATTTTTTTTGAATGAAATCAGATTATTACGAACCCATTTAAAAAAATCACAAAAGAAAAAAATTTACGTACTCTCAGAGCCTCTTCGTCCATTTTTTGGCGAAAGTTGGAGAGAGTATCGACGGAACTTTAGAGCAAAGGATTGCAAACAAAAAAAAAACTCTAGTAATTCTTTCTGATGTGGAAGATCGAACTTAGCCGCAACTACAGAGCATACTTAGAATGAAACTATAGTGAAGGAATGGAGGGAGAAAGAAGTATGAAATGGTGGTGTGGTTTGGAATGGGGGGGGGGGGGGGGGGGGAGGAGGAGTGCTATTTATAGGGGAAGAGGGGTTGGAATACATTCCCACAAAGCAATCACCGCTCTCCGCAAAACCGGTGAAGGGCCTACTTTTCTCGAAGAGGGGGAAACGTCTGGATCGTTGACGTGGCGAGCTGTAAGGCGTCGGATTTGGGAGGAAAACGAGAATCCGCGCCTCACTGCATCCGACGGCAGAGGTAAAGGTGCTTAGCTACGCTGATCGCTGACATGGATAGCAGGGTATTCCCCGTAATTGTCTACGGCAGTGAATGCCCCGCGGCAGTCCACGTCAGCGATCCACGTACCTTCCCCGCTTTTGATTAAAACGGTGAAGACATCACTTTTTTTGTTTACGGCGGTGATAGCTTCACCGTTTTTGTTCTCAGCGGTGATCGTATTCACTGCCTTAGACAAAGACGGTGAATGTCAAACATGTGTACTTTGAGAAATATTTTTATAACTAATGTATTTTGGGATTTTTTTAATTACTAGTGTATTTTGGGATTTTTTCTATTTTATCACCGAAATCACATTAGACACACTTCGGACAGGTAAATTCGACCACTACTACAATCTTGATCAAAAGATGCCTCCAACATTTCTTAGAAATTATCCATATTTTGCATATTTGTATTGCACCAATCACATTCCAAGACTTGGATTCTATTTCTCCTGATTGTTGACATGATAAGGTCTAACTTCTTTGAAAAAAAAGCCTCAAGTTGAGTAGTCAAAAAGATGCTTAATCTAAAAGTAGCAAACTAGAACTCTTCAAAGTCTTTCCTCGTCTTCCCTCTCTCCAATCATAGTTTTTCAACGACATCTCCTCGATCAATCGACTCATTTAATAAACAGTCTTGTTACAATTTGCTCACCACCGGCGGCATCAATAAGATGCTTTGAGTTCCTTATGAGATTGGTCTGGAAGGTCTTCACTTGCAACCAATACGTATGTATTCAGGTTAGATTACACACATTTATACCTGATAGATCGATAATTATACATGTTTTCACCCCTATTTTGAAGCCGTTTGTGATGAGGGATCTCGTGTTTTAAGCCGATTTCACGCTAGGTTGTGTGTTTATGTCATATTTCAGGTCCTGGTGTTGGAATCGAGGCGAAGGGACGAGTTCCGGGTCGAAAGGAGCGAAGATGGGATAAAGGATGCTGCTGGACCAAAATACCCGGTCAAAGGAAGAAATACCCGGCCGGGTATATTCTGGCCTCCACCGGGTATTTTTCCCTTCGGGCACCCGTGAGAAACAGAAGGGGGCCCGGGCGATGGCCTAAAATCCCCGGTCGGGGATTTTGATGTTGGACCGGGGATTTTCCCCAAAGTGGAACGGCGCGTTTTATGAAATACCCGGTCAAACCATGAAATACCCGACCGGGTATTTCGACCGGGTATCGGGAGGGCAGCTGATAAAAGAGGAAGAAGGCCAATTTTCAAGGGGTTCCGGGTTTTTGAGAGAGAAATCGATTCCTAGAGAGAGAAAGTGACGAACCAGAGTTCTCAAGCGCCATAGATCGATCTTCAACACCATTGGAGCCCGGTTTGAGCTTGGAGAAGTGCGATTAAACGTCCAGGAGCAGAAATCCAACTTCACAGTATGATTTCCGCGTCTGAATCTGCTTTTGCTTCTTTCTCTATGGAGTAGTTTCCCCATTCATCTGGGTATGGAGAACCCTAGATTTGTATGCTAGGTCTGATTGTATGAACCCAAGTACAGAGTTTGTGAATTGATTATATTCGATTGAGGTTTGAATGATTGAATGACTTGAATCCTGATCAAATTCCTGTTGTTTCTGCTTTAACCTAGAATGAGAATATCTACCTAGGTTGATAGAGTACCCTTAATCGAAGGTGGCGAATTGGTGACTTTAGTCGAGGAGCCAATTCGCTATTCTGTACCGAAGTCAATTCGGTAGTGGAGGTTTGGTTCATTAGGGCCTCAATCTGTTTACTCCGGTGGAGGTTAGTCGCCCGCTAGAGACTCAGATTGAGAGGGTCTGGAGACCTTTAGTCGAGACTTCAGGCTAATTGAGAACCTTCCGCAGTATAACTTTCATGAAAACTGAACTTGGTAAATTGCAATCCGACTTAACTGCAGTCTAGGGGGAACCATATCCGGGTGACCTCTCTTGACTTGACAACAAACCGTTTACTTGCTTTGTGTTTTGTTTACTTGAGTTACACTAAAAGTTCACCGCTAAATAACAAGAATTCACCGAGTAGTCATCACATCTAGGACCCGGGTTGACAATTAAACCCAAACCCGCTATACTACACTTTAGGAAGTGGTTGCACTTGACCATTTTCTAGAGTGACAGTAGGAGTGAGTCAAGTTTTTGGCGCCGTTGCCGGGGACGGCTAGGTTGTTGAAGAAAAGTGATTTCTGTTACTTTAGCATTTTCATTTTTGCATTGAGTTTTTGTTTTTCCCACTTGTGCCTTCATGGGGTTTGCATTGCTTGATTGTGTGCAGATAGTGCATGACCCGTAGCCAGTCGGGAGGTTTACTGCCGTTGAATCCTGAGATTGAGCGCACCTGCAAACAACTTCGGAGACAACAGCGAGCTAGACTGGCTACGGTGGAGCGCCGAGACGGCCAATTGACCAGCGACTCCGAGGACGAGCACGAGATGGAAGGCGATCAGAACCCGCCTCCTCAGAACCAGATCCTGGGGAACGACCCAAACCCCCAGGGAGCTGGCCATCATCATCCACCACCAC